CTTTTATACTGTATTATAATCAGGCCAAACTCATGTTTTTGCCATGAATATTGACGGGATAAACGCAATTTAATGCCAGTATATTGCTTTTTCTAGAACTATTCATAGGAACATTCCCACGCTCTGCTGCTATGCAAATACAGACTGAATCAAAGTGTACGTGTCATTGATCTTGCTGCCGGCCGAGATATGCATAGCTCAAACCCTTTGTACGCCGCCCAGTGTTATAACCAGGCCAAACTCATGTTGTTGCCATGAGCATGGAGGAATAAATTCGTAGTGACAGGATAAACGCAATTTAATGCCAGTACCTGCTTCTTCTAGAACTATTTATAGGAACAGTCCCACGGTTCTGCTGCTATGGAAATTGACTATTAAGGGTCATTGATCTTGCTGCGGGCCGAGTTATGCATAGCCGTACCCTTTGTACGGCGCCCAGTGATAACGACTCGACGTTACCAGGGAAAAGCATAGAATAAACTAAGAAAATATCAGTCTCTGAATTTTTGTGTGCAATTAAATCTTGTATTTATTATTTTCTTTAAGTCTCATTTTCAATTATATTTTATATTTGTTATATATATTTGAAAATGGATATGGTACGATTCAAATAAATTAATTACAATAAAGACAACAAGGAAGTGACAAAGAGAAATTAAAAATCAAACAAGAACAGCTCATTCAGTAGAACATAAATTAAAGTTAATTAGCGTACAGTTTATTACATGAACATAGGCCCAATTAATCAAGATCTACTGTGTGTGTGTACAACAGTCGCTTGTATATGCTTCTATGATAATCTGATCTAAACACAATACTTTTATTTAGTGGTTTTTTTTTTTTCATTTTGGAAGCTGAACAACAATAATTTAGGCCAAAAAACGGCTACCGTATCCGAAAACGCCATTCCTCTACACCCAGGCCCAATGTCTGTTTTCAAAATGACCTACAGAGAATGAATGAAAATAAATGGGGGAAAAATAATGCCACCCTAGCTTAGCCTACTGCATTAAATTCTGATATTCATCGTATATGTTGAGTATTTATTGGCGGTCAGTGTACTTTATTATGAATAGGACTACAAATAGTAGGCCTATTGTACACTTATTATAAGAGACAGGCCTAGGCCTATCCATGGAGGTATAATATCTATGTCCTAGGCCTCTCCTAGTTTTATATTTCTGCTGTCTGTTGGTTTTGATCGTAACGGTGACGATAATCTCGATAAATTATTAATGTAATTCTCAGAAATATAGCGTGAGCTACACGCACGCCAGTAGATGTTTTGTTGGTTAATTATGAAGTGAAATTTAGGTACGCATTCCAATGTTTTAATTAGTGTATATTCTTGCTTTTAATCCTTAAAAACCATTTGGAATCAACCTGAAATAAAGACGGAACTCAACAAAGCAAGTTCCTACTGGTTATTCTTTTTAGTAGACGTCCAATTCAAATTTGTTAGATTCGTCAGTTTAAATTGCAAATGCACCTCAAGATGCTATTCAAAACATGTTGCTAATTTTATTACGGAGGAAACTTGTAGAGAATAAAATCTAAATTGTTAGGTTTCTTTAGATTTGACTCTAAAATAATACCATGAGGGTTTCTTATTTGTTTTTTGCTTTGTTTTATAAATTTGTTCAACAAAACATTCTTGATTACACCAAGCTTGTTTACTGTCACGCATTATGAAACTTTGGGCGATCTGACGTCATCACAGCCGAAGCTCGTCTAGTGCAAAACGCCCCACGAAAATGGACCAATTGGCGGGCAGGCAGAGTTTTTTGGAGGCGCGACCTAATCTGTTTACAACTAGACTGCCGACCAGCATTACCCAACGAAGAACGTGTGCTTGGAAAAACATAATCAGACCTAAAGAAATGCACGCAAAAACAATATAAAAATCGCATCAATTTTATTAGTAAAATAATTAAATTTGCTGAGCAGTACAGCAAAACAACAGGTACTGTACGTATTATTAAATAATGTGTTGAATTTGCGTAGGCTAGGCTAGGCCTAGTCAAAAGAATCCAGGGCTTTGATAAATTAATAAAATTAAAGCTAGACTACAACAATCTTGTTGAAAATGACACAATTCTATTCTGTCTGCTGTAGAACCTTTTCCACACTGCAATAGTATAAAATTGAGGTTTTTGGAGTGCAGATAAAGTTTTATATCCATACCAGCCAGGAAAGTCCCTGGAGTCCAATCCATCACATTTAAGACAGTTTGGACAAGGAGAGTACACAACATTCCATAAATGTTTTCCTCTTATCATACAGTTTACTAGTCTTTTCAAGAGTAGGGGGTATTGTCTCTCATTAGTATGGCTTTAATATTTGTCAAAATAGAAAACTATGAAATAGGGCACAACAAAAGATCCAGATTAGCTTGGGTACGGACGCACAAAACAAACAGATGTCTGGAAAGTCACGTTTGCCTGTTTACAAAAAACTGCGTAACATACTAGCAACGTACATACTACATACACACGAGCAGGATTTTAAAAGTTCTTGCAAGCATAGGAACTAAAAAGTGTACTAAATTAAAGTAAGTGTACTTAATGTACTAAATTAAAGTTGATACTGTCATGGGAATAGGCATAGTTATATGCCTATTTGTCTTATTAAAATAGTACTTAATGTTTGTGTTAAATTAGCTGTAATTAATACCAATACCTTGTCAATAATAGGCATAATTAATAGGCTAAATGATATTTATTAATCATCATTATTGATAGTTATTAATAATAAGTATTATTCAACTTTTGTGGTAATATTCGTATATTAAAGCTGTTTATTAAAGTAAAATGATGATGTGACTATACTGTAATATCGATCTCCATGTTTCCATGTTTCCATGTTTCATATTTACAACTTTACAATTATAGTGTCGGGTCGGTCTAATATACAAATGTCTGCATGACAGACTCGGCTGGCCTTCGCAAAAGTTTTCCTAAAAAAAAGGAAAAAATTAATATAGTAGCATCTGTTTCCAGTGGTTAGGCCAGGATTGGGTCCAAGGGGACGACGTAGTTCAAATAACCTTATATATAATAATTTTGTTATCTAGTGAATGGACCATAATTGAAAGGTTTCGTCTTATAAACTATAAAATAAAAACAATAATTTATTCTGAAAATAGTCTGACTCTTGACTACCATGCTTATTCTACACAAGGAGTTACTACAACTTTCTGGAGTATTATTTTAAACATTCAATGTCATCGTCAATGTCATAATACACTTAGGCCTACAAAAGACAATAAGAGAATACACTGTACAGACCATTTTTGTTCTTGCTAAAGCAACAAATACAGTACAAGAAATTGCTTTGTCATACATTGAATAATAAAAAATGAAATTCAAATTTACGAGAGATATAGCAGACTCCAGCGAACATTTATTGACTATTATTACACTCCATTACCTAGGCCCTACAACACGCTGACATATCGAGATCTTGCCCACGCTGAAACACTTCGCAAGCTGGACTGCACACAATTCCACTCGTTCCAACGCTCGCTGGGATTCGCTAGACACGACTCATACCTCCGTCACGCTTCCCGGATCTGGTAATTCATTATTCATGATATTTAAATATGTTCCTCATGGCTGCTAGATTTAGTCTTTACCCGCTATACAATGGAGATTTAACAGATTAGCGCCCTCAATAGTTGGTTTTCACAGCTTGGTTTAAGTTTCACCATTTCTTGAAGTAAAACTGACTTAAAACAATCCAAGTGCGGACAGCAGGAAGATTTGCCCATTGGAATGTTACCGAAGGTATCACTGAAATCGTCTCTTTTTAAATCCAGCGCATTTACGTTTTCGACTAATTCAATTATTTTTTTACATCACAAATTTGGCATTTTGTTAAATACGTAATCTACTGGAGTGCAGCAGATATTACACTTCTAGATGGTATTTACTTTTTTATTTTTATTATTCTGGTATAATACACAAAACATACTAATGGCAGCCAAAGGCTGAGATGATTGTATTTAAAATCTGTGTGGAATTCGGCCCTAATTTTCCGAAATGCACTGACAATTAAGATTTCTAGCCTAGCCCTAGGAAGGTTTTGCACGGAGAATAGGCTAGCCTAGGCCAGGCTGGGCCAGGGGCAGTCTAGCTAGGCCTAGGCCAAACAAATCTATATAGGTGTGTTATAAAACAAATAATGAATGTTTAGTATACATGCAATGGAAAGAATATTTTCATTCGTTGAAAGATTCACTGTTCCATTCAACTCATGAAAATATTCTTCCCATTGCACTCACAAACAAATAGGTATACTAATTGAATATACCTATTTGATCATGCCAAGTAAATAAAAAGTAGTTTCTTGTCCTAATGTTTTGAAATAAGAAGAATGAGGGCACTTTTCATTTTTTACTCCGAGATAGCAAATCCAAGATGGTCGATTGGAAACAGCTACTACTTCCTCACTTTTACCAAGTAGACACATTGAAAGCAAATAAAAGAAGCACTAGACATGATTCATACAATATGTACCCCAACTATGAACGATCGAAAGAGGAATTTACCGATGTGAGTTAGCAGGATTTTCATACATTTTTTAAAATAAAAGGAAACAAAATTTGGTGAGGCAGAGAAAATGGATGCGCGAGGAGGCAAGAAACTAGTAATTTTTTTAAATTTTTTTTTTAAATTTTTTTTTTTGCCTTTTGAACAATTACATTTACTATAGTTGAAGTATAAGGGTTTTTCCAGATTTTATTTTAGTCAAGATATTTTTAGATAGATAGTTATTTTAGTTAGATTTTTAGGAAAACATCAAAACTGCAGAGGTTACCAGAAAAAAAATTCTGGATGCCTATATTTCGGCTGGATGCACAACCATATTTTAGTGAGGAAATTATAAAGGAGCATCAGGGAAAAACAACATAAAAAAACAAGTAGCCTGCCTACTTCATTTCACAGATGTGTAGTTATATGATAACAATAGAACCTAAGTTCTATATTTTGTGATTTTGTAATAGATTTAATATTTATGAATTAACTTTAACAATATTGAGTTTTCTTTTTCTGATTTGTCAGGATGAATATTTGTAACGTTCTACAGTAATCAAACATGCATAATTTTATTTACTGATATTAACAAAAATCACCATTATAATATGTAAGCTTAGTGATACTAGTTATAGAGGAAGATTTGATTAAATACTAAATTTATTTATTTATTCAGGTATAAATAAATATACAAACAGCAAAAAGGCTGAAATGTAAGAAAAATATAAGAATATTAAAAATACTGTAAATCTCATTTTTCATAAAGTAACTAATATATATGTAACTAATGTATGTATATAAGTAACTAATGTATATATTAAGAACATTTTTTTCAATAATGTAGCTTTTTTACAATGGTAGGAGATTACATGGTTGGTGCTTATATTTAAAAAAAAATAGTAGAAATGTGTTGGTACAGTCATAAGACTACTGCAACAAAAAATACTTTTTGCAACAATAGAGGGCTCACAACTGAAATAGTTTGAGTTCATAATGGTGTGAAAATTCATGGTCACAGCTGACTGTGTTATTACTACTATTAGCCAAAGTGTATGATGCCATGGAAGTAATAATTTCTGACTGAATACCCTTCAAGTTAATAATCAGCTTAACATTTAAAGAGAAAAGAGCAGCTGAATGTAATTTCTCCCCAAGCAGCTGGTTGACTACAAAACAGAGGATACAAAAGCCTAAGTAAGCAAGAATACTTTAAACCAGAAAAATTACCAAAATCTATTCAAACATATTCCACATAGATTTTACTATTTGTTAAAACCTAAGTAAATATATCCTGTGGCAAAAATCTGCACTATAAATTGTAGCATTTGGGTCACAGTAGAATGGTATTGATGTGGTTTAAGTAGAGAATAAAATAATAAGCTTAAACATAGGTCAGAATACCGTAGTAGCACAATAGTAACAGATTTACAAAATTCAGAATCAATAATTTACACTTACATAATCATTATTACAATTTTACATTATTCAACAGTGAGCAAACCTGCCAATTATGTGACGAAATTAAACAATGAATGCCATACAGCCGGTTTTTGTGACCTTGGGTTTAATCTACAGTTTGTCTCCCACCTCACCAGAACATAAATATATATAATCACAAGAAATATATATAATCACAAGAAATATATATAATACATAATTACAAGAAATATATAATATAATATATAATCACAAGAAATCTGTTAGAGATAGGAGCAAAGGGTTTCCTGTAAGCGATCACTTTAACTCTCAGGGACACTCCATAGATAATCTACGTTTTATTATATTAGGCTGTAACTACAAAGCTACTAGAGATAGACATTGCTCTGAATTATGTTGGATCATGCGTATCAAATCACACATCAACGGACTAATAAAGATCTAGGCTTTGCTAGTAGTTATACATTCACTAAGAATTAATCCCTTAATCATCTTAGTGGTCTCTGATTTTGCAAGACAAACTGTGTATGCATTGTTTCACCCAGTAATTATTTTATACTGTTGGCTCATTCGCCTTGTGAAGTCCTGAGGACAGGACGAAATGTTCGTGCCTAATAAAATTACGTTCTTATAATACGTCAACTGTGTATGATTTTTATCGTATCAATGTCTATATATATACTGTCTCTTATACACATCTACACTTCGCAAGCTGGACTGCACACAATTCCACTCGTTCCAACGCTCGCTGGGATTCGCTAGACACGACTCATACCTCCGTCACGCTTCCCGGATCTGGTAATTCATTATTCATGATATTTAAATATGTTCCTCATGGCTGCTAGATTTAGTCTTTACCCGCTATACAATGGAGATTTAACAGATTAGCACCCTCAATAGTTGGTTTTCACAGCTTGGTTTAAGTTTCACCATTTCTTGAAGTAAAACTGACTTAAAACAATCCAAGTGCGGACAGCAGGAAGATTTGCCCATTGGAATGTTACCGAAGATTAAGTGCATGAAAACTGGTGATATGCTAAAAACAAAATGCAATACAAAAGAAAAATACACAGAATTAAAAACAAAAAACAAAAAAAAAACAAAATTGTGTTAGGAACCTGTTGGTGATCATTTTCTTTGGGAGGGAGGTTCTGATTTTAAAAGAGAGCAGACAGTTGCAGTGGCATATCTAAGAAGTGTGCAGGGGAGGAGAGGGGTGCATTTCTCCTACAAAAGCTTGTCCCACCTTCTCATTTCAAGACCCCTAGATATTCCACACAAATGTAGATCTAATGGAGCTCCTGCTTCTTGTGCTGAAGACCATGATTTAAACCTGGCCAGCATCACATTAAAATCAGATAGCTCTGCACCTCGAATAACTCTGCCCCTCGAAAACAACCCATTTATAGTGTGAATGTCACTAGCCAAAAACTACTGATTTATGGTGTGAATTTAGCTAGCCCATCAACTACTGATTTACAGTCTGAATGTAGCCCAAAAACTACTGATTTATGGTCTGAATGTAGCCAAAAAACTACTGTTGATTTATGGTCTGAGTAGCTAGCCCATCTTCTGCCAGATGTTGTACTATACACCACCTAGTATTACAAATATTTTAATAATTCATAAAATACTAAACTTACTCTTGTTTTTGGTGTTTGTTTGAGACCCAAATGCGGCAAGCTTCTGTGTGGCTGTAGACAGAAAAACAAATGCATTAATAACAGGTTTACTAAAACAAAACAAATACATACTTTACAAATGAAAAAGACTAATATAAACAATTAACATTTTAATTAGAGAATTTATAATTAATATATAATATATATATCCTAACTTTGTTTCAATTTGTAGATGTTTCTTGTTTGAAACGGTGTTCAAGTAGACCAACTATGTAGTAATTCAGTTTATTTTTTGGAATCAATTCTCAGCACCATTTTTTATGGTAATTTATGTTTTGTATTGTAATGCTTGTTTATGAGGGAAAATAAATGAAATTAAATACACTATAGCAACATTCAAATAATATCATTATTATTGAAATGAAAATATTGAACACAGAGTATTAGAAATAAGTAGCTACAGCTAAAACAGCACCCTCAATCTATTCAGATTTCTCTCCTGAAGACTCAATCCAAGCCGTAGTCTAAGTGGTTCTCTCAAGATTTATTAAGAGTAAACTTTAAGAAATACTTAAGAATTATACAGAGATCCCAAGTTTGAAAACCCAAAAATAGGGAGATTTTTTTCATGAAGCTATCGCCTCATGTAGCGACGCGCTGTGACGCCTTACAATGCGCTGTGCAACATGAAAGTATTACACAAAATGACGAAAACAAACAATTTTCATCAATTTGTTTACTTTTATTTAACAATTTTACATTTGTTTACACATTGCAGTTGGCCTAAAATATAAATTTATAAATATTATTATTTATTTAGCAATTAGCTAGTAAAGCGTTCTTGGCAGCAGTCAACAAGGCTTTGCTTGGTTTATTGGCATGTTAGAGGCTACGGCTGATTTATTACATCTCATCAAAGAACATAGAATTCTAGCAAGGTAACTGCAACTTGCAAGATTCACATGTTTTACTGAAAATTTAAAAAATATATATATATTTTAATTTAGTTAGTAAATCATACTACATGTTTTAAGTCGGCATTTATATATGTCTAGCCTATAATAACTGGTACATAATGCCATGAAAAAAACATTAAATCCTGCCTCACTAGGCTCCATCTATACGTGCGTAACTAGGCCTAATACCGCAGAGTCACAACCACCACTACACACAGACGCCCACCTAACACAACACACATACAGTACATACCCTGCAGTGTTGCAGATAGAGCCAGCAGGCCTATTAAAGCCCTACATGTATTTCGGGATCGATATAAAATAAACTTCATTTTCGGAAGACTGCTTAGTACCAAAACCTATTAACTATAATTTTTTAGTATTTTTATTAAAGAACTGAAGCTTACTTGAAAGAAAAAGTATTTTTTATGCACCGATTCTGTTCCAAATTTTCGCGGCGAAAACTTGGGGCCCCATCCATTCCCAAATGGTTTCTGATTTTGTTAATTTGTTGAAATTTATTTACTCAACTGACAGCCATCTCATTGAATGAGGTCGGCACTGGATGCAAAAGATCGTAACATGGAGGATAAACACCACGGATCTAGGCCTGCCTTGCCCTGGAGTTGTTATTTCGATAAACAACTTAAATAACAACTCCCTGGCCTTGTTTATGACATTTTATGGCTCAGCGAGCGCCATAGTATATTGTTGGCTTAAGATAAGAAATTTTGTTTCATTGCTCTATGACATAGTGGAAATCACATTTTTCGTGAAATTTTTGGGATATTTAAAAAAATCGGGAGATATTAATAAAAATCGGGAGGGCGGGAGACGGCCTCAAAAATCGGGAGAACCCGCGAAATTTTGGGAGACTTGGGATCTCTGAGAATATCATTCAAAGACATACAATATGCAGATGGCAAAGTGAAGATGTTCATAATATAAAAATGATCAATCAGTCTAGTTAGAGTGGCATAGACCGTATGTCATAGTTACAAATTTTTCCAAAAAACAGGGCGGATCCAGAATTTTTCAAACGGGGGGGGGGGAACAACAGTAAGTGAGTAGCACATAAACATTGATTTGCATTGAAATTTTTAAAATTTAGTGGCAAAATTATGTACCCCCCCCCCCACCAACTGGATCCACCCCTGAAAAAAATCTGTGAGAACTCACATTGCATAGCATGCACCACTGGCTGCGGGCCAAGGCCCCGGAGGAGGTGGATGGGTTTGTTTGTTTGTTTTTATTTCATGCTCACAAAAACAATAATACAACAAATTTACAAAGCAAAAAAATTCAAAATTAAAAGAGAAAAACATCAGAACAGGTTAAAAGAAATCAGACAATCCACAGAACATGGACAAAAGAAAAGAAGAAATACACAATTATACGCATCAGAAAAAGAAAACAGGTCAGAGGGAGCATTGGATTACCAATTAAACTCGATTAAAAATTAAAAGGAGCTCCCTGGAAGCTCACACAATCTGAGCATTTTCACTGACCAGGTTTGGTCGAATTCGGCACAACCGTTTGGCACTAGTAGCGTTTTGAAATGTTGCCAGAAGAAAGATAGAAATAACCCCTTAATGAAGGGTACAACAATTTTTTGCTAAGTTGCAAACATGCAAACTTTAATTGTATTTTTCCCAAAAAGTGAAAATTTCGAGTTACGTTGTTTTGCCACGGAACGGCTGGCCGGTAAAACATACCAAGAAAGATTTACTATATACAACTAAATAAAACGCACAGTATTGTTCATTCAAGAAAAATAAACAGTCAGGATTAATGTCCCTAAAACAGAAAAAAAAATTATTGTAGGTTATAATATATGTGATTGACTCTGGGAAAACCAGGTACTTTTTGTCAAAAACGAATATCTTCAAATCATCAAAAAATGCATGTTGGATTGAAAATATATATTATCATATCTTTCCCATATGTTATCAATTTTAACAATTTTTACATCAATTATTAGCTTTTGACATCTAGATTACAAAAATCTAATAATTTCAATTTTGAGAAAATGGCTTGGTTTTGCTATAGTGGGTCACTTATCTCTTGATATTCTATAGTTTCCTTTTTAATATTTGTGGTTGTAATAAAGGCAAAATAATGATATTCATGTGCAGATGAAAAAAATAAACAGGCGTTACACTGAATATGTGAAAATGTCAGCTTACTTAATTATGCTGACTGAGTAGCACACTTAATTCTACAGGGAAAACCAAAGATCATTCTCAAAGACCATTATAACATTCTCAACAGACAAAAATCATTACTCTCTCTGCTTACCTTTAATGTGTAATAGCCTTTAAACATATCAAAGGCTGCCTGTTCGTACTCCCATTCAAGCCTGTCATGCTGGATTTGAAATCGTCTGTGAAAATAATAATTTTTATATAATAATTAGCATCTACAACATTAGCATCTATATTCATCTCTATATAATACGGCAGCTTAGGGCCATACTTGAATAGAATGTGGACGTTACATAATTTTTAAGATACCATACAAACCTTGAATGACCTTGAATGACCATCAAAAATGGTATGATAGTATTCCTTGACCATATATACATACTTTCAGACATTAGAATTATAATTCCAAGTGGTTTTAAACATGGGTTTTATATGGCAGCCCTTTTGAAATCAAAGATGGCTGCCAAAATGATCTCGGATAAGGTAGCTTCTACCAAAACTTGAATGTTATGACCATTATGAGCATGTAAAAAAAAATTGGTAACATGTCCACATCCATCTGTTAAGCTGCCGTACTATGTTTTTCTGTCTATGTATATAATAATTTTATTAAACAATGTATAACAGTTATTTTGAGTTCAGACTTGACACTAAATTAGTGATAATGAAATGGTCACACGTCATAATAAAATTAAATAATGAGATATTACCATCACGCACTACACTTACATTTATATTTAAAATATTCTCATTGCTATTGTCATAACAAATGCCAAAAAAAACCCACTAGACATGTTTTAGTTTATTAATTAACCAATCATACAACAATGACATTTGATTGCTTTTTTTCTCGAAATTAAATTTCTCAGTTTTCCATTAAAAAATTGCTAGGTATGTGCCTAACTCCAGACCAAAAAATTTGCTTTTTTTCTCTATTTTTACAACCCATTATAAAACTATAAAAATAAATTACCATAAGAATTTATTTGTTTTACAATTTTAATTTTTTCTAACACCATTTTTCATAATGAAATTAAAATTAACATTATTTAAAATTCAATTTTAATGTGGCAACTAAGAAATTACAAGCAGGGCAGGAAAAAGTGTGTGACCAAACACGAAGGCATCATGAATGTCCAGGAGGCATTTTTGGGGAAAAAGTAAAAAAATTAAAAAACTGTTGGGCTATATAGTTTACAGGTAACATATGGTGCTGGAGGCATTTTATCAAGACAATTTTCATGGTCGGAGGCACAAACATTTTTTTTCATTCCAGCCCTGATGACAAGTATGCCTATATACACAGCAATGTAATCTGCACATGGCAATGGGATTTAATTCATGCTCACACATTACTGTACATTAATAAGTAAAGAAGATAATTGTTTAATACTTACTCTAGATTATTCCTTTGTCTTTCAAGTTCCTTTTCCTTTAAAAAAAAAGAAAAGAAGAAACTCAAGAGTATTTTACATTCAATAATCGGGGTCATGTCAATAAATAAATAAGCAATTAAGAAATTTATCAATCAATCTATTATAAATCATTACATTATTCAACTAATCTCTATTGTGGATAACTGTTTTGTCAATCAATCAATCAATCAATTAATCAAGCCAATTAAATAATATAATCATTGTCTTATATTTTATTGTTATAAATTGTAATTTTGAAAATTATTATTAATAATCATTAAAATTATTAAATTAATTTTAATACATAATTTTTACTTAAAGATAAAAAATGGAATTAATGCAATTTCTAAAATCTCTACAAGCACAAGACCAATTTAAAACTACATTAAAATCAAAGTACTGTAAAAACATTAAAAACAACATATAGAGTACTACACTGTGTTATGTCCAAGATACCATGTGATACTACTCTGTTGTATCGTTGCAAAATGCGTTCAACAGGACGCCATTTTTCCACTGACAAACCATTGATCCCAATTTCTTTCTTTGTAAATTTTAATTGATGATTAAATGTGTGTTCGATAACTAATATAATGCAAGCTTTGTGTTTTTAGTACATTTTGATGGTAAAATATTAGATTTTAAAATGCCTATTCCAGAAAGCCTATGAGGTCATTCAGACGTAATGAACGGTAACTAATGTCTGGTTGGCGACAGAGGGCACCACCTGGCGTTGTGACAACACGAATGTGGTACTCTATACTGTAGGCCTACTGGTAAACTAAATCTAAAGTCTACATAAATATAAAAAGTGAAATTTAAAAGTTTTCATCTAAAATATTATCTCTGAAATTGAATTACAATCCATAATTTCATTTCTCTGAAAATAAAAAGAGATGGTACAAAAATCATCCATGTACTACCATTTACATTCTTTAATCTGAACTAAAATAAACAAGTGCAACAATTGAGGTTAATCTTTAGCTAAAATCTATAATTTTATGCAAATAGAATTACAATAAAATTAATATTAACAATACGAGCCTCGCCATCCCAAAATCAGTATACTGTGACTGAGGTGTTTCAGTATAACTTTTACTCATACTGTAACTTTGGCACTGTAGTAAGTCGATTCCAGCAAATGACCATCATTTTAAAGCTTATAATTTGGAGAATATGAACATATTAAAAAGTCAATTTCCTTGTTTTGGTCACTGGTGCTGGTTTTGGCATGACAAACCCCATATGTTTAACAATACAGTAAAACTCTAATTTTTAGTTTTTCTATATTCATTGTACATATATTGTACTAGAAGTTATTGAAGCAGTGTTAAAGCAAATTTACTGCAACAAAACTTTCTACAGTACCTTAGTTCCCCGTGTTTAATCCCACCCCCCATTAACGCGAAAATGGCAAGATTTTGGGGGGTCGGATTATACCCAAGGATTCCTGTGTGCATGAACGAAAATGATGATCGTTTTGCGAGGTGGCAGAAGCATTAGAACAACTGCCCTACGATTCAATGGCCTCCAAAACTATATTTCGGTGAAGAAGTACGAGTTTACTCGAACATCAAAGGGAAGGGAACACCCTACAGTAATTAGTAGGCCTAAGTGCCTAGCTAGAGAGGCCACATCTTGGTCTTACCTCAGCTAGGCCAGCCTTTCCCTAAACTTTCTTCATATCATATCATATATCATATCATCATATCATTTATTTCACCAGTTAAAAAAATAAAAAAATGTATGGCTGACTGGCCGGATTGCCCAAAAGCAACGCAAAGTTACTGTCACGGGGCTTTCCTGGCAGTGCATACAGTACAATTATACATAAAATTCAAGTATAAAAATAGAAAATTATATATAATACCATCTCTTTTAAAAATTTCATTTTAAAATGTGAAAGTTACAAAAGCTAAAAACAATTTAGAGCGCATAAATACATAAAAATAAATCAAATCAAATCAAATTAATTAGCAATAAAATGGCAAAAAGGGGAATAACAAGCAAAAGATCATTACAAAAGGATAAAATTAACTTTTAAAATGAAGTTCAAGGTTATTTATAAAGGGATAGCTAAAAATGAGTTGATCCATGAGATCCACTGGCAGCCCAAACCAGATCCTTGGAAAAGAGTTTAAAGACAGAGAATTTATGAGCATTGGTTCAAGCAAAATTATTGTTAAACTTAAGATGATCACTATGTCTGTGGTTAATTGAAATAAGGCTAAAAATATTGATTTTGAGAATTCAATAAAGACACTTAGCAATGAATGAAATTGTTAGAAACTGAAAACATTAAGACGGGCAAGTCTCTCGTGGTAATGAAGCCTAGTGGATCTTGATGTCGTAGGTAAATTTTTTCCAAGCAACAACCGATCCAACCAATCACCCATCACATCTGAAGATGCATGATGTAACAAGTTATTTTTAGCAGACAGAGTCTCTGTGAGAGTCTTCATACTGCGAATTAATGATCCTACCAGCCTGCTGGGCGGGTCTCTTTAGGGACGGACCACGGTGTAGTATATTTTTAGCCACAGCTGTGGAACACCGAGTCTTCGTGCTGTGAATTAACAATCCGATCAGCCTATTGGGCGTGTCTCCTTAGGGACGGACCACAGTGTTCCTTATTTTTAGCCGCAGTTAGCAAGCTTGTTTATTTTAGCAACAGTAAACAACAAGAATTTACAAGAACGGGCTTTGTACTCAACTTTATGGCGACCAATGTCCCGTCTAATCAATTGGAAAAGTTTCAGGTCTGCCGAATTCGGAGCCAAATCCTTTGAATTTGTTGAATTTGCCAACCTAGACCTAGGCCTACTCACGTAAATTATAACCTGGGACTTTGCCCGGGGAAATGCCTGTACGCGGAGTTGGGCGTAAAGTCGGGGGTGGGATTATACCCGAGGTGGGATTATACCCGAGGAACTACGGTAGTATTACAGAACTACCTTCTTAAAATACTGTTAAATTAAACTGATACTTACTAAAATAAACACAATATAAAACATACAAATAATGTATTAATTATTAACCCTTTTAGGGTTTTTAAAGTATTATAAACCTCAAGGAAAGCAAGCAAATCAAAATACACACTTAAAACACATTATTATTATTATATAAATACGAGGGCAAAATAATTTGTATAAACATGCACAAAAGTAATTGGTAGTAAAAATTAAAATATAAACATAAACAAATAGAAGCAGTATGCTCCAAACATTTCATGACCTAAATAAAGACCTACTTCGTTATATCTGCTTTCTCCAGACTGCAACCAACGAACCAAAGAATTGTTTAAAAAATAACAATAAGCAATATTGAATAGTGTACATGTACAAGGAAATGGTAGCACATTTTTTGGGAAGGGGGAAGAATTTGAGGAATGAGATGCAATGAGTAAAACACTGTTAAAAGGCCAACAATTAAAAACAAAAATAAATGCAATCATGGTTATTTTGGAAACAAATATAAAATCTTTTTTGTTTGTTTTTTTTTTACAAATACAAAAATATAATTACTGTACCTAATATACTAGCAGTTTTGCTAGGAGGACAGTATACGACTCAATGAAAAATATTATTGATTATACTGTGTTAAAAATTTTAATTATATTTTGTTTGATTATTAGATAGATTCAAGTAAGCCTGTGAGATATGGAAGAGGACCTTTATTAAATCTAGTTGTACCATGATGTCCATATCTTTTCTCCTTTCTAAGTCGCATGGTGTGAGTAGAGGTTGGCCGTGGAAACCAATTACTGAAAATAACGCCTTACACAATGACTTCCGACGTTCACTGAGAGGTAGAGCGCAGAGTCATAAGTCGTATACTGCCCCCCAAGGATGGAACGGCAAACTCGTTTTTGCATACTTTCTAGACGGGATATCTGCAGCACAGTGAGGCCGTTATTCCACAATACGACGGCATATTCTAATATGGGGCGGATGTAACCTTTGTACACAGTCAATAACTCTTTAATATTCAAATAAGCCTGTTTCAATTTACGGAGCATGAATAGTTTTTTATCAGCTTTTAGTAGCATAAGTTTGACATGACCTCCTCCCCCCCTCATTTCAAATCTGACTGGAAAAGAACCCCCAATAATTTAACTTCAGAGACAACTTGTAATTTATGATCAGCTATGTGAAGACCCAGGTCTGGAAGCATTCTCTTACCAAAATAAATTTGCATGACTTAACACTAATAAGTTTCAATTTATTAGTCGTTGACTACTCTTGAAGAGAGATTAGTCCCTGCTGAATCAAACTTGGTTGGCCTAAATTCTACTCTCTCCAAGCATCAGGTATTCAACATACTTCCAGACCTGGATCCCAGAATCAGATCCTAAAACATCATCTGTAAGGGCACTATTAATTACACACAAAAAAATTATGGGCGCAAGGATTGTACCTTGAGAAACTCCCCCAGTAAGGTTTTCCCATTCAGAAAATTTGTTCTTGTACTTAACACTTTGATTTCTGGCCGAAAGGAAATCCACAACCCATTACAAGATAGAAGGGGAACGTCCATTTCTTTGAAACAATTAAATGCAATTCTATAATCAATAAGGTCAAAAGCCTTTGTAAAATCTGTTAGGGCCAGTGTACTAATTGAGTTTTGATGACGTTTTGTAATATTAGTCCAATATTCTAAAATCTTTGTGGAAAAACAAGTAATTATTGGAGAAGGGGAAATTACCTTTTTTGTTCCTTCAAGATGTCTTTTTTGTTTAATTTCTCGTTGAAGAATTGTCAATTTTAGCTTCTCTGCATCCAGAAGACGACTTGTTACCTATGTAAAAAAGGAGTACATTAAAGAACATGAAAGGACACAATACACAGATGAAATATGTAATACTTAACAATAAAATTGTCCTTGCTTCACAATCAATAATACTGGGCAAACATATCATGTATTGTTATACTGTATAGTAAATATGATTATTGATTTGCAGTATAGACACATGTGATATATTGAATGTATGCTCATACATAGTAGAATTCAACACTTTTGTTTTTTTTAATTGCTGCCTACAAACATAAATGTTCAACATGATGAGACCAATATTCCAATTGGCATAATGCACTTTCAATCAACCACACCTAACAGGGGCATAGACTGGTTTTGGTCTGGGGAGGGGACAGAATGGCCTGGCGTGTGTGAGTGTGTGAAAGTTTTAGTATTTAACCAACTGGTACTGTTATGGGCATTTATAATGCACCAATTCCTTGAGGTTATAAAGCGTAGTTCTTTTCCTTGGTCAACCTATGTGGTTGAGTCCGCATCCCCATCCCACTATGCCCACGCCTAATTTGAATATAAAGGTTTACTGAAATTATTACTGCAAATCAATTTTTAAGCTTACAGAATAAAACATGATTGCTTAAATATTCATGTGTGTGAAAAAAGATGCAACACATAAGCTTTCACAGGTCAATCGTTGCCAAAAACCACCAATGGAAAAGAGAAGCCCAAGATTAGTGATTGACAACATAAACATGTTTGACCAGCTCAAATAAAACAATAAAAAATCTCTGAGATACTATACTAACTAATTTACAGAAATAATTATATTCACAGTCTGCTTGAAGTCAATTTGCCGACACCAACAAAAACACAGATATAATTTGTTTATTTTGCAAACCTTTTGTAATGTTCATTATTGTTGGGACTACCGGTAATTAATTTAGCATTCATATTATAATATTCCTGCATGACATTTTCAAAGCAAATTTTTGCTGTAGTTGACATCACCAACATCAAGGACTCTTGTTTATAAATCCTACACTTTTTAGAATACACCTTCTGTTCAGGTTCCACACTTCCCATTAATCTAATTTATATGAGCAATTCCATGCCAAAGTGGACTAAAAAAAGTAAACTGATAGATAATTTTTTTTAGCACCTATATATTTTTCGAAACACATCCAGGGCTTTCTTAGAGTCATTTTTCGCATGTCTTTTTAGCAGGGGTGTCATTTTGAAATGAAATAACAGGAGGAGTTTTAGTATCAGAGGGTCCTTTGGCCCGAGCAGGGTTGGGTTTGGGAGGGGATGTCCCCCTCCGTAAGGAAAAATTAAAAATAATTACTGTAAGGTGCCATTTAACAGTGTTTGAATTGGCATTCAACAGTGTTAAATTTTAACTTTTGAATTTTGTTGCCTGAGCTGGGGTGGGTTTGGGATGGGGTGTCCCCCTCCATACCCTAGAAAAAATGAAAAATAATTACTGTAAGATGCCATTTAAAAGTGTTGAATTTTAAGTTTTGAATTGTATTGCAATGTTTGATTTTAGATTGTATTAAACACTATTTTAAATTAAAAATCCAACAGTCAAACACTTTTGTGGTTAATTTAATTTTCAATACCAATAAATAAATGGATAGCACATCATACACTGTTTGTACTGTAATTATGTATTTTCTTTCACAGTGTTTCTTTTTAAACTATTTACATTCAATTGCAGTTCAGCAACCTGATTCTATCTACTAACTAGTTTTCTTACTTTCATCTACATAACAGCTAATACTGTGCCTTTTCTTCATACAGGTATTTTTAATTACCTTTGCAAATATACAAAAAAATAAATAAATTATAACAACTTCTATTTATAATCCAAAAGGCAAAATACTGAAAAAAAACAATGAGATACCTAGCTTTTTGGGACAGAACACTGTCCTTTGTCAGGGCTAACTTTTTTATAATTGAATATACATTCTTATTATCTAAATATTGTATTTGTATACAATGTAATAATAATCTACATTGCTACAGCCCTCGAAATTAGCGTTGGCATTCTTCAATTTGCAGAGGTGCCCAAAGCTAACAATGGCACTAATTTGCAGAGGCCCTTTTGTTGTCAGGCTAAGCTTAGAAGAATGTAGCATAAATTAACGGTGAACGAAAATCATATCTTCTCCAAGCTTTTAATTGTTTAGTCATGTTAAAATATATTAAGCAAACATATATTTGTAAAAACAAAGAAATTTCTACTTGTTTAAAGTTGTTACTGAACAACGTACGATCGAATCGACGGCAAATCAACGCACACAAGGAATCCCCAAATTTGTTAACGTGAATATACGTTGAACCACGTTCGTGGAGTTTGAACCATGGAGGTTTGAAAAAAAAAATGTTTTTATTACATAATGAAAACTTGAAGACTCACTGAACGGTTCACTGCACACCTTACACAGTAAATGAGTCAAAATGGGACCCCATTTTCTCACAAAATCGACTATATAATTTAAATGGTTTCATTAAAGCTTTATAATCATCTATATATTCTTACAATTAATGCAAAATTGAGTGATCATTTTTCTTTCAAAGTTGACTACCTCTTATGCTTTTGCATAGTAAAAAGATTTAGAGTGTTTTTTGGTATACTTCCTGCTTCTTTTTACCATAACTGTGCAACGACAGGTCGCTAAACTTTGGGGTGAAAGGTCAATTGTAGCTCATAAATTAAGCTTTCTTGCTATGTAAGTCTCATGCTGGTTGCTTAAATAACCATTAATCATTTTTTCTTTAAAATTTTGTATTCAGAACTATTTTTACCCTGTCTATGAATGACGTCACACGCTTAAGGCCAATAGCAGCTACGAATTTCGAGTTTTCTGCGGTTAGTGCGTTCATGCATAAGATGTAGGTCAAATTTACCTGAATGTGCTTTTGTCGAAAATAGGGGAAAAGTTTTCATTATGAACGTATAACTTAATACCATATATATTTATTTCATTAAATAGATTATGGAATCATTGTTATCTTTTCAAAAAAAGATCATGGCCCGGAATTGGTCCATTTGCATTATTTTTAGTGTACTCACATCATGACCACTGTACGTACCAGCGAGTATGCGAATGCTCTCTGCATCCACACCCTGGTCCACCTCATACCGTAATTTGTAGAGTGGCTCATACATAAAGCATGGCCTTTCTCTCCAATCTACTGTCAATGTTGTTTTTGTTAGTGAAGACGTGGGAAAATGTGTTAATAAAACATCAAAACTATTTGGTTGACTTACTTTATTCGTTTTGATTAAATATCTTACAAGAAATACACGTGTATTACATGCCATTATGACGGGACGAGGTTGTTTACTTCTTGCTTCCTAGCATACTTCCTGGGGTGATATCACACGGTCTTTCTCGATGTTCTTCGCTCGATTGGGGTTCAACGCTCAGCCAGATTTTTTTTTTACTTTTGTGGATTGGATTGGATTTATTAAACACCAAGGATAGCCCATGAAAGTCTAGAAGAAGACTTATTTCCAGTGGGGTCCTTCTGGTGGTGATTGGGCAGTACACCGGAAGACAATCCCCTAGTAAATTAAGCTTTCTTGCTATGTAAGTCACATGCTGGTTACTTAAATAACCATTGATCATTTGTTCTTTAACATTTTGTATTCAGAACTGTTTTTTCACTGTCTATGAATGACGTCACACGCTTAAGGCCAATAGCAGCTACGAATTTCGAGTTTTCTGCGGTTAGTGCATTCATGCATAAGATGTAGGTCAAATTTACCTGAATGAGCTTTTGTCGAAAATAGGGGAAAAGTTTTCATTATGAACGTATAACTTAATACCATATATATTTATTTCATTAAATAGATTATGGAATCATTGTTATCTTTTCAAAAAAAGATCATGGCCCAGAATTGGTCCATTTGCATTACTCACATCATGACCACTGTACGTACCAGCGAGTATGCGAATGCTCTTTGCATCCACACCCTGGTCCACCTCATACCGTAATTTGTAGAGTGGCTCGTACATAAAGCATGGCCTTTCTCTCAAATCTACTGTCAATGTTGTTTTTGTTAGTGACGACGTGGGAAAATGTGTTAATAAAACATCAAAACTATTTGGTTGACTTACTTTATTCGTTTTGATTAAATATCTTACAAGAAATACACGTGTATTACATGCCATTATGACGGGACGAGGTTGTTTACTTCTTGCTTCCTAGCATACTTCCTGGGGTGATATCACACGGTCTTTCTCGATGTTCTTCGCTCGATTGGGGTTCAACGCTCAGCCAGATTTTTTTTTTACTTTTGTGGATTGGATTGGATTTATTAAACACCAAGGATAGCCCATGAAAGTCTAGAAGAAGACTTATTTCCAGTGGGGTCCTTCTGGTGGTGATTGGGCAGTACACCGGAAGACAATCCCCTACTCTTTTCCGAAGAGTGTACTGCGTTCTTTAACGTGCACATGGGTCATAATGCACACGGGACCAATGGCTTAAACGTCTCATCCGAAAGACGGTGCGCTATTGTAACTTGTATTTCAGCCTTCTAGCTGAAACACAAGGAGAGGCAGCGATGGGACCTAGAGATCTCCACGGTTCAGCGCACACACAGCGGCTACCACCAGTTTAGCCGACTGTGATGATTACATAAAATATCTTACAAAATATACACACATATTCTATGCTATATTATGACGGACGAGGCTCTTTACTTCTTGCTCCATAGCATACTTCGTACAGCCGATCACGTGTTCTCTACAAAGTGGTCTTTACGGATGTCCTTCGCCAACGCTCGATCGGGGCTATAGACTCGATTTAACGGTGTTCTTTGGTTGGACGTTGTTTGTGACAATGTGTTTGAATGAAATTAAAATTTTATTTCCTTTGTTGTGATGATTTAGTATCGTACAAAATATAAGCTTAGGCCTAGAAGAATGCTGTTTTAATTTTTGTTGTAAATGCCAGATTTAGAAGGAAATTTCTCCATGCTTTTGACGTAAGCTTCATACACAGTACCTCATGCATGTGTCTTCTACAAT